TCTTATCAAAGGGCCTTCTACAGATGGATCAGAGGCCTCAACCAAAGCATCTGGGGGTTGCCCATTCTTCCACAAACTTACTCAAGCTTAACTGCCGTTTAGAAGCATGCATATATGTTCTCTTATATATCTTAATTAATAAAATGCCATGACTCTATGTGAGAAACTGCATGTAATGTGTAGGTGGAATAAATGGCATTTCTACATTGTTTGTTCTTTTCATCATTTATGTTGAAGTGACAGTTGCAATAATGAGAAGTATTGTTGTAATAAGAGATATTGAATTGGATGGGTTGTATAGGCTGATAAGAGATATTGAATTGGACCACCCCAAAAGCAACGATATATCTCAGCTCTCCATTCTCTTGTCAGATCTTTTCCTTCCAATTTTCAGACTTAAAAATGGTAGTTTTATAAAAAAAAATAAATAAAAAATACTCTCTATAAAAGTGTGAATATGTGTTTTGGCTTTTGGAATGTTACCAAAAATGGTAGAAAAGTGTGAATGTGTTTTACCAAAAATGGTAGTGTTGAAGAAAGTATAGAGGAAGTGGAGAATGGCTCTGCTCTTTACTCAAACGTCTATCTTTCAAAGTTTATAAATATCTATACTCTCTATAAAAGTGTGAATATGTGTTTTGGCTTCTAAAATTTTCATTGGACAGAAAATGACCCCTCTCTAAAGTTTGGGTCAGAAAACAAACCAAGGTAAAATTGTTATTTTACATCTTCATTTAGCGATGATATAAATAAAATTAGACACGATAAACAAGAATTATTTTTATCTTTTTATTGATGATATAAATAAAATACAAAATTCAAACTAACTCAAAAGATAAATTGTTTTTCCTATTTGGTGGTATATGATTTCAACATTTCGGGCCAAATGTGTCAATTCGTGAAATTATAATTAAATAATAAAATCTTAAAAAAATAAAAACACAAAAATATATAAATTATGTAGAAAACATTTGATCATATCTCTATATTAAATTATTAATGAACCAAGATAAGTGTAACAAATAAGAATAATTTTTATGGACAAAAATATATAAAAATATAGAAAATTTTGGAAACATAATATATACTATCATCGTCACCACAAAATTTGTTACGTGCAAATCATGAAGCACATCTATCTTTTGTTTGTTCTATATCACCCCAACAAGAAGGGTGTATATTAATCTAACTGAAAAACATACCTTCCATTCCGGCCTTCAAACCATCTCATTATCTTTCTCTGCTGTTAGGATGTGGGTGGCTCTTATGTTGTTCCAAATATCTAGAAGAACTCGATCAAGGCTTCGTCTGAAATCTGAGTGATTATTTTGATTGATACTCACTGAGCCTAATATTTTGCTCATTTGGGGGGTAGCAATTCAACTCATACATCACTGACTCTTCATTGCCTAAACCCATTTTTTAATAGGATCCTTTGTTCTAGAATGTCTCTCCCAAACCCATGAAATTTTATTTTTGGCCTTTAACTTCCCAAAAGTTCTTTTCATTGTGGTATTGGTTTTTGATTACTTAAATCCATAAATTGTTAGGTTGGGTAAGCATTTTCCATCATTCATCCACTTCAGATTTTTAATTCCCTAAAGACCATTCCTTTTGAGTCTGCAAATGGTATTCCATTTAACAAGATTAATTTCTCTATTCTCTCCTTTCTCCCATAGGAAGATTTTCTAAAATTTATCAGTGGTTTCCATCTTTGATTTTTGGAATTTTAAGGCTATCGTTAGAAAGAGTGTTTCTAATGAGAGTGGATTTAAGAAGAATGACTCTTCCCGCTGGTGAAAGAGTGTTTCTTTTCCAACCAGATAATTTCGTGTTAATTCTTTCCTAATTAGGGGCGTATATCAGTATATGGTCAGGTTGAGTTCGTTTATACTATATAAAGTCTGGGCTAGCTTGTTTGATAAATGGGCTTCAAATTTAGACTCTGCCCTGGCCCATGGGTTTAAATATACAACGCGGGCAGGACTCCTCTATATAGGAATTTCTACAAGGCCAGAGAATGGTGTAAACTTTGGCCTCCAAATTGATCCATTTCAGCCAGGACTAGAATATTATAGATTAAGCTGGCCGATTTAAAAAAGATAAATAAATTTTTATTTTATTTTTAATTTGCAAAATAATTTTATCTATTTAGGTTGTAAAATTATATTTTACGTTTTCCCTCTACTTAGGGTATTGGCTAATGACTATGAACCTGCTCTTTGTGGTTTTTGGTGTGCTTTTGTAACTAGAAATATTTAATTTAGGTTCCATTTGGTTTCTAATAGGAATCAAAATCGGAATTGGAATCACCTATTTTTTAGCCTCTTTGATTGATCGGAATCATAATTAGATTCCAAAAGATATGCATGATTCTTAAGTAGGACTGGTATTGGGCAAAGAGAAATAGGGTTTGAGAGGTTTTCTAAGTCACTTGTATTTTCTTACTGGTGGAATGAAATTCTTATTCTCAAGGGGTAGCTGAAATGGTCATTCCCTCAAATAGGGGAACGCCCCTATTTCTATGGAACAAACAGACCCTTAATTTTTACAAGAAAAAGAATCTTCGTACCCTTGTCATGAAGGTTATATGAAAGACCTTAAAAATAACTCTAATAGGTGATAAAATGAGAGAAACCAATATCCAATGATTTAGTCATATACATATATGAACATCAACAACACCAGTTAAAAGAAATAATCAGTTACAAGTTGAAATGGTTAGAATTGTCATGAGAAGACCACAAAGGAGTTAGCTGGGTGTACCGAGAAGTGATTTAAGCGCCTGTAATTTGACCATGAATATTCATGGCACTGGACATATAATGAAACGGGATTTATGTGTATTAGCTAGGTATTGGTGACGATGATAGAGAAAAAAAATCATGGTTTTTAAAATTGATCCGGAGAATGAACCAGTTAGGGGTCCAGTTCTTGCGTTGAATGGTCTGATCATTCAAACCAAACGGTTGGTCCGTTTTGAAAATATTAAAAAAATTAAAAAAATAAAAAAAAATGATAAAAAACGCTGAATGATTCAAATGCCCAGGTCAGTGATTTACTGACTAAATCAACGTTTCTTTTGCAAAAATCCGATTTTAGGGAAAAATGAAACCAATCACCTGACCGGTCCCCGGTTTTTCCAATCCGACTGTCCGATCCAGTCCAGTATTAAAAATCATGAAAAAAATGTAACAAGAAAACTTCAAAATAACGAGCTTGGATTTCCTACTTCCAATCCAGAATTTGACTCTCAAAATTATTTTCATGTAAATTAATTATTGTAAATTGTAATAGTCATTGTGAAGAAAATGAATATCACCGGTCCAAATGGACAAAATCATAATAGTCACGTAATGTGGTGGAATTCCAACGCTTCGTGACACGGCAAATTATWTTTTGAATCAGTTGAGGTCTTATTCTTTCGGGTATAAGACTTAAACCTTCCCTGCACCTAAAACACTGAAACATCCTTCACTTTTCAAATTAAACTTAGACGTCTCCTCTCAGACTTAGAAACCGTTGTCTTTATTACAAAAAAAGTAAATTACCCCAATTTAAATTTGGGATTAAATTCATTTATAATCATTTTATAGAAAAAAAAAGCCCTCATCTTCAACATAGGAACATTGAAAACTTGACCATTGATGGAGTTGCATCTGAGTCCAGATCTCCTGCCGGTGAGAACCTTGCCCACGTTTAAAGCAGCCACACTTGAAGAATATTTCATCCTATGCATAGTATTAAGCAGGGGAAGATGTTCTCAATTTTCAACTCGTCTTCACACGGACAGATGTATCTTAACCAAACAGTCTTCAAAATGCAAAAATCTTGATTTTAAAGCTCATACTGTCTTTTGGCTGTCAAAGCTTCCCGAAAAACTTTCAAAAAAGACTTGCCAAAAGGCCTTTTTGTAAACGTTATATTCTACGAGAGACTTCGAAATTATGTAATCGGAGTCAGAGAGTTTGATTAATCTTATATATATATTACTATGTCTGCGCATTTATTTAGATAAAATTATAATGAGTTTATTAATAAAGAATTAGTTCAAATATTGCATTTTCCTTGAAAGCTTATAAATTCAATTGTGTGGGCTGTGGGGGAAGTTATTATAATTCACTTCATTAGTAATATTAATCTATGATGCTATGGGTCCCATACAATCTTTACGACTTCTGGGAAAGAAGTTCATCTGATTTTCTATAAACCATCCATTAGAAAATTCATGCTCAATAAGCTTATCAAATCTGGAGTGTGTTTATTGCATTTGTTTTGTGTAATATTTGACCAAAACATGACTAATAGCTAATAGCAGGTTGATTTGATTAATTGGAGTTCTCCTCCTTCTTGGTCTATTATGTTGCTCTGATTGATTTTGATAGTGTAAGACTACATTTATTAATTCCACACGTTACATCATATTGGTCATTATCGCTACCTTAATGGACAAGTTATCAATTAAATATTTCAACTTTTTAGGTTTTTGGTAGCAATTAAACCTCTTAACATGTCTTCATTAATTCCACAAAAATTTGGGCCGGCCTGTATGGGTCTTTGTATTGCTCTAAGCCCATAAAGGGGCAGGTCAGACTGTGACATCCAGCCCTCACCCAACGCCAACGGGTTTTGTTTATTCAGTTCAAGAGTTAAAAAGTGGACATCAAGTAGTGTTATTGTTATAGGACTCTTTCCTTTGTTAGATGGTCCAACCGGGACGGTTGGTGCAAAAGTACACGTGGTACACATGTGGATGCGTTCTTCGGACTTGGTCTCCTTGGGAAAGTCGTGTAATCATGGAGTAATAATTTTCTTAGCGTGGATTATTGACAACCAAACCCATTTGAATTGTCTCTACACTACATGCATGGGTTTGTCTCTCTCTCTCTCTATATATATACTCTTTCCTCTTCAATATCGGATATCAGTCACCTCATCTCTCGGTCTCTCCACCCTCACATAATATAGAATAGACACAACACACAACAAGCTAAACCTTTTTCCAAGCAAAAGATCGATGGCTTCCTCTAAAGCTACTGATCAACCCGTGGTTCAGGGTGACAAGTACAGATCACATATGTATGGAGAAGGAGAGAAGAATACCAAATGGAGGTCTGGTGCTCCTCCCAACTTCGATGCTGTCAACAAGCTCTTCGAGGAAGGCCGAACTCAGGTTCGATTCTCTCTCTCCCTCTCTCTCTCTCTCTAACATATCACTTACAGCTTTAAGGTTCTATTAGCAATGAAATAGCTAGCTTTGACTACTACWACTCTGATCAGTATTTAATATTATATTCTTCTGATCATTTTGTAGGAATGGCCAAAAGGGTCRCTGGAGGAAAGAGTCCAAAATCTTGTGAAGACATGGGAAATGGAGATCGCATTTAAGGTCGATCCAGCTGATTATAAATCCATAAACACTACAAACTTTACTGTCAGCGTAAACGGTATACAAACTTTAACTTCATATATACTATACTGATGACATATATCTCTTCTTAATTTTCTCCTTATATATAAATATATGTCCGTCCTAGTTTACTATTTCTATATGCAAACTTCTCAATGTAGGAGGTAAACCGGTGCCACTTGAAGAGATTTTGAGAATTGGAAGCTACAATTTATTCCTGCAAACACCCTTGCCACAGAACTTACGTGTTTATGATCCATCCCTTGAAACAAGTCAATCGGCGTCTCAGGCTTTCCTCACCACATTCTCTCGTGGGTTCGCTGTGGAAATTCTTCAAGTATATTCAGGTCCTCCGGTGATTGCCTACAAGTTCAGGCACTGGTCTTTCATGGAGGGTCCTTTCAAAGGCCATGCTCCCACTGGGGAATTGGTGGAGTTCCAYGGAATTGGCATCTTTCATGTATGTCGTCTCTCTCTCTCTCTCTCTATTCACTTAATAGCTTTTGTTCCTTCTTCTCCGGCCCCTTTTTTATCTTAATTATTAGTAGTTTTTTTATGAAATTCTAATATTCAAGGAATGGAATTACTTACTGATCATTTTGTTGTGTGGGGTTCCATCTTATTCTTCAGATGGATGAATTGATGCGTGTTAAGAAAATAGAATTCTTTTATGATGGAAACGAAGTGCTGGCAAGTCTTATCAAAGGGCCTTCTACAGATGGATCAGAGGCCTCAACCAAAGCATCTGGGGGTTGCCCATTCTTCCACAAACTTACTCAAGCTTAACTGCAGCATATATGTTTTAATTTCTCTTAATTAATAAAATGCCTTGACTCGTATGTGAGCAAGTGAATGTAGTATATATGTAGTTGAAATAAATGGCATTTCTACATCATTGATCATGTATTCTTTTCATTCATGTTGAAGTTAAAAATTGGAATAATGAGAAGTTGTATTTAATTTTGTAATAAATGAAACTTATTTGTCTGCATTGTCCAATAATTATGAATGCACATGAATTACTCTGTTCCAATATGGAGCCAAGTGAAGCCCAATTAGAATGTTCCAACTGTAGGCTTTGAAATTTCAGCCCCTAATCTGGATTAGGTCTAAATTCCATGCCCATTTATGAATGACAACATAGTCAATCAGATGAAAAGTCAAATTTGGTGGGCCATATCTGGTTTGATGATGCCACATGATCAGTCTAATCCAGTCAAATAGATTGAAGTGTGATTTTTGGAACAAAAGCTCAAAAAACAGTTAATGTTAACAGAACCCTATATTGGCATGTTATCAGATCTTGTTTATTTGGATGAATGGATGGTTTTTACTCAAGGTGTATTAATTTAGGGTATATTAAGTATCCTTTGTCTTTTGTTTGGTTCTTTTTGAAAATTTGAAAGGAAATGGAGGGCAACAGAGTACTAAACTATATTTAGTTCTGCTTGAAAAACCCAATGTTATTAATTCAAGGTATCTTTAAGGTCCCGTTTGATTTGTGGGGATAGGGGTCCAGAATCAGAATTGGAATGGGCCATTTCGATTCTAACTATTTAGTTGGGTGGAATCAGAATCCCGTTCCCTTTTCCTGTGGAATGACATTCCCCCATTTGCCTCTCTCTCCCTTAGAAATGAAATCACAATCCAGCTGATTCCAATTCTCATTTAGATTCCTATCTGGACCAAATAAATTATGAGAACAGATCATTTCAATTTCAATTCCAAAGGATTTTGATTCCAATTCCAACTATGAAATATGAATCAAAGTTATTTACCTTTACTTTTTTTGTCAACAACCTTTATTTGCTAATGTAATTACTAATTAGAGGTGTATATGGACCTGGTTGGGCTGACATACTAAATAAAATCTGGGCCCAGCCTGTTTGATAAATGGGCTTTAAATCTAAACTTGGTCCTGGACCATGGGTTTAAATATAAAACGGCGGCAGCAGACCGACCCTACGAATTTCTGCAAGGCTCGAGATTGGTATGAACCGGCCTTCAATTCAATTTCAGCCAGGATTAGACCATTGTCGATTAACCTGACCCATTAGAGCAGATGAATTAATATGTTTATTTTTAGGTTGCAAACTAATTTTATCTGTTTAGGTTGTAAATTTTTATTTTCTCTTACTTTACTTAGTCATGTATATGTAAACTGTTAAATATAAATAGAACTCTGAGTAGCCCATATAGTAGTAGCAGCCAGGGTGCTGGCTAGTAGCTCTCTAGACTGCTCTGTACAGATTTTGATATGCTTTTGTAACTGGAATTATTTGTTAGGGAAAGAAAAAAAAAAGAATCATGGAATTATAAATCAAAAGAGAAACACATGACATGATTGTGTAAGTAACAAGAAAAAGACACATTTATGTCTCTATTCATGTTGATCATATAAAGCAACTTAGGCTCCGTTTGGATGGAGTATAAATACATTTTGTATGGTTCAAATACATACAGAATACAAAGTTTTGCACTGATCTTTTTTGGCTCAGTTTGGAAGGAGTACGTACAAATACAAATATGTACAGTGCAAAACTTTGTATTTTGAAGTATTTTGTATATATTTGCACAATTGTATCGTAAATATTTGTATTTGTACTCTTTCTGAATTAAGCCTTAAGAACAAACAATTTCAATAGATGATAAAATGAGAGAAAATAGACTGAAATAATTTGATTATGTGCATAAAAGACCATTATTAGAAGAAATGATCTTTTACAAATTAAAGGGACTAGAAAAACTAGAAACAGACAAAAAAGGACCTGAATAGATGTGAAATGGTTTAAACACCCATATTTTGATGATAGATATTAAACAGAAGGCAATTTCATGTAATTAGGATGGTGTTTGGTATATAGCTTTTGGAAGAAACGGTGCCAGCTCAGCATTGGAAATGAGTTTAACAGAAAAACGCCTAAAAAGTTATTTGGTTGAGCCATGGCTTTCTCAAAATTCGTGTGAACTGTTTATTAAAAAACACTATTTCTGGCGTTTTTCATTTTCAAGATCGATTTTTCATTATTTGGCATATATGGCGCCTAATAATGGCGTCTAGTGGTGCCTATTGGCGCGCTAAGGTATAAAAAAGAATTGTACAAAACGTTTAAAGCAGATTTTGTCACGTTTTTCAAAACAAAATCGTATAAAACATTTATCTTATAAATGACATCAATACCAAACAACCTCTAGGGTTAGATGATAGAAAAAAGAAAAACAGGTAGCAAAAAACTATTAAGAATAGATGTTCACTTTCCACGAAACCATTAAGTGATAAACATGGGTAAAATGTCAAGACTCAAGAGTAGTCAATGTTGGCTGCTAACACAGTAACATAGTTTCTCAAAAAAAAAAAAAAGACAGAGTAATATAGTCAGGATTAGGTGTTCAAACAGAAACATGCATGATGGTTCATCAAACAAATTACATGAAATATTACTGATCTTCCAACCTAGAATTTGATTCTTAAAATCATTTTCATGTAAACTCATTCTTGTAAATTGTAGTAATTAATCCTTGTGCAGAAAATGGCTATCACTGGTCTGAACTCTGAATGGACAAAATTATAATAGCCACGCAATGTGGTGGACATAAAATTTCATGGAATTCTAAGGCTTCACGCGACAATCATTTTTCTGAATCAGTCGAGTTCTTGTATAGACTTTTGTTATCTTTTTATTCCAGATAAGACTGTCAAAGGTACCTAATTATCCGAGTCAGAGTTTGATCTTAACCCAATTAAACCGGATGTTGGATATCAAAAATCCGATCTCACTAAACCTGATATATGTTACTGTGTCTGCGCATATATTCATATAAAATTAACATGAATTTATTAAATAAAGTTGGTTCTGTTTTACCCCAAATTCGATCCTTGGCCAAAAACTGTTAAATTGGTCAATGACCTATTGATCCGGGCAGTCGAACTGTCAACTTGTTTGATCCGTTCAATGATTTTTGGTTTTTTTTATTTTAATTAATCGAGTTTATTTATAATTATAATAATAATAATTATTATTATTATTTGGTAATAATAATTATATTATTATGATTATTTATAATAAATACGCACTCTGCTGGGACCATCCAACAAGGCTCAAAATATTAATATGCCGGTAGGGGTGTATTGGGCGCTTTTATACTCGTTTTTTACCTTTTTTTATTTCTTTTACAAAACTGGTTCAATGGAGCCGGTCTAGAACCCCTCCATCCCCTGAACCGGTCAAACCCCCAATACACCTACTGTAGGGGCATATCGGAAGGGTCCCAGAACTATACGTATCGGCCGATACGTAATGATAATTTGAACCTTTCTATCCAACTAACATGCCAACCCAGCCACCACTCAGTTGATAATATTTTTAATTTTTTATATGTAATAATATTTCGTATGAATAATTTTAATATTTTATATGTATAATAAGAAAGAATTTTTAATAATTTATATAAAGTTTGACTCACCGTGAAACTCAAATCAAACTGATCTCAAACATATAAGGTTTTGCGTTGAACCAAATTCGAGCTAATATTTCAAACTTGAATCAAGATCGAGCCCGAACTGAAAGCTTTATTCTTTTTCTGCTGAGTTGAGCTCGAATAATCATCTCCACCCCTGTTTTCGTTAGCAAGTAGCATTGACTCATTCTTTGGTTAGAGGGGGATCTAACCTGGGGCCAAATTTCTTGGAAGATTCGTATAAGCGTGAAGAACCAAATTTCTGAATGTGGAAACCAATCCTAGCTATTTGAATTGTCAACATATATGGAATGGTCTATATAATCTTCCTTCTCCATTAATTAAATAACCGCATGTATCATCACCTCATCTCTCCACACTCGCATATTCACAACACACCAAGCTAAAACATTTCTTTGCGAAATATGGCCTCCGCTCATGCTAATGAACCGGTTGTTCAGGAAGACAAGTACCGATCTCATATGTATGGGGAAGGGGAGAAGAATACCAAATGGAGGTTTGGTGCTCCTCCCAACTACGATTCTGTGAACAAGCTTTTCGAGGAAGGCCGAACTCAGGTTCTCTCTCTTTCTCTAGTTTTAAGGTTCTTCTATTAGCTATGAAATAGTTTTGAAGACTATTTATTAGCTATGAAATTTTGAATTGTTATAGGTGGGCAGTAGAATTCAGAATTTTTAGGTGGAGTACAGTGAAGTTATATATCCCTTAATTATATTCTTCTGATCATTTTGTAGGAATGGCCAAAAGGGTCGCTGGAGGAAAGAGTGCAAAATCTTGTGAAGACATGGGAAATGGAGCTCGTTCATAAGGTCGATCCAGCTGATTATAAAACTGTAAACGCTACAAACTTCACAATCAGCATAAATGGTACAAACTTAACTGCATACTGATGATGTATCTTCTTTTCTCCTAGTTTTATAAACTATCTCTGTCTGCAAACATTTCGTTGAAACAAACGGTGGGTGAAATATATAGGTGGTAAACCGGTGCCACTTGAAGAGATTGGGAGAATTGGAAGCTACAATTTATTCCTGAAAACACCCTTGCCACAGAAGTTACGTGTTTATGATCCATCCCTTGAAACAAATCAATCGTCGACTCAGGCTTTCGTCACCACATTCCCTCGTGGATTCGCTGTAGAAATTCTTCAAGTTTATTCAGGTCCTCCGGTGATTGCCTACAAGTTCAGGCACTGGTCCTTCATGGAGGGTCCTTTCAAAGGCCATGCTCCCACTGGGGAATTGGTGGAATTCCACGGAATTGGCATCTTTCATGTATGTCTCTCTCTATTCACCTAAGCTCTTATTCCTTCTTCTCTGAACCCCTTTCATCTTATATATTAATAGTAGTTTCTTTATGATGAGATTATACTTAATATTCAAGGAATGGAATTGCTTACTCATTTTGTTGTGTGGGGTTCCATCGATCTTATTCTTTAGATGGATGAATTGATGCGCGTTAAGAGGGTAGAATTCTTTTATGATGGAAACGAATTGCTGGCAAGTCTTATCAAAGGGCCTTCTACAGATGGATCAGACGCCTCAACCAAAGCATCTGGGGGTTGCCCATTCTTCCACAAACTTACTCAAGCTTAATTAATTGCCATTTTGTTGAAGTATATATGTTTTTTCTTAGGCAATTTTTGGTTTCAAGGAAAAGATAGGGAAAGAAAGGGAAAGGTAGGTTTGTAAAGGTTTCCCTACCTTTCTCTGCTTTTTCCTTCAAACCAAACACAACCTTAATTAATGAAACGCTCCTATGTGAGCAAATGAATGTAGTGTGCAGGTGGAATAAATGGCGTTACTACATTATTGATCATGAAGTCTTTTCATTTATGTTGAAGTTACAGTTGGAATAAGGAGAAGTTGTCGTGTTGTAATAAAGATGTAGTTGGAAGAGTGGAACTTATTTGCTTGCAATTGTCCAATAAAAACTACACAAGAACTATGCTGCCCTAGTTTTGAGCCAACTCCAGCCCATTTAGAATATCCTTACTATGGATTGGTCTCGAGCTTTTAATTTTATCTCTAATTTAATCTGGGCTAGGCCTAAATTTCGAACTCATACATCCTACACACAAACTCTTCCCACATCCTTATCAACAGGACATTACAGGCGTGCATTTAGAATAACTCCTATATGGGAGATGTTCTCAATACAAACATTATGGTAGGGATGTGGGTAGGAGTTCTGGACAGATAATTGTATGCCCATTTTTGAACTGGCCCTTGGCATGGACCGTTAGGCTTAATGGACTATAGGAATTGCACTATTTTTCGTATCTTGGCCGAACTTAAACTTGTAGCATAGCAATGTGTATCAGAACCTAAAAGGCATAATACCCAAACTTGTAGCATAGCAATGTGGGTTAGTCAAAAGGGAAGCAACGTAACTAAGCTCTGTTACCTACAACGACATTTACATTATATTATGGGTCATGGGGTTGAGCTCACGCCCAGAAAGCCCATGGCCAGGTCATGAGTTTCTCGTTCCAAGCCCAACCACCAGGCCTCCGGTGCTCCGCCACGAATTTTGGATATCAAGATATTAAGGCTTTGAAGTAGGGGTATCAGTTGGACTAGATTTGGTTTAATCTGATCCAGTTCAATGTGAGTCTAATACAAATGGATATTTTGGATCAGTCAAATTCAATGTCTAGACTGTCCAATCTATTCAAAATTGTTTTAATTTAGATCAATTCCAACCCAAATCTGATCCATTGATACATATATTCTTATTTCTATCAATGTATGATATTCGTTCAATCCAACCCAATCCAATATAAAATTATTATAGATGGGTCAGGTTCAATCCAATCTAACAAATACTTTGGATAAGTCTGTACTGGCCCAATTTAATGTCTTATTGGTCCATCCAATCTGTACAAATTGATTTTGGTTTGGAAGGGATCCAACCCAAAACCGGTCAATTAACACCCCTTAGTGTAAATTTCCTATAAGCACAATAAGCATTTTGTCAAGATCTAAGCAAGTTTCAAAGTATTGGAAAGGCAATTTTAAGAGACATATCGGGATACGCCTTGGATACGCATGCGTATCGAAGAAAAACTAAGATACGCATAGATACGTTTAGAAAGACAATAAATATTTTAACAAATCATAAAAATACATCAACAACACTAAATATAAGACCTCAATGAGGTGTATATACATTAAATTAATATATTTTAATAGTTTTATGAAGAAATATATTGAAGTTAATTATAATTTCATTAAAAATCCTATGCTTAACTATTATTTATAAATTATAATTCTTAAGTTTTAATGTTTTATGGGATGGGAAAAACCCAACTCTCCTATCCAACCATAAATCATTCATTGGCACAACTTCTAAGTGAAAATATAATTAATAATTATTTATTATTTAAATAATTATTATTTACTATTTATTTCTAAAAAATATAAAAAATAAAATAAACATTATATAATATATTCAAAAAAAATAGTTATTAAAAAAGAAATTTTAATTGCTTTGTGGATATGATAGATCATCCATAGAATTATAATATATTCAATCATTGTGATCAAATGATAAAATATAATTAATTAATTATTTATTTTTTTAATTCTAAAAGTAGAAAAGATAAAAAAAAATTATTAAAGAAGAAATTTCAATTGGTCTATGGATATGATAGATCATCCATAGAATTATAGTATATTCAATTGTTGTGATCAAATGATAAAATATAATTAATTATTATTTAGTTTATAGTTCTAAAAATATAAAAAATCAAAAAAGAATATTAAAGAAGAAATTTCAATTGCTCTATGGATATGATAGATAAATCCATAGATCTAAAACATATTTAGTCTTTATAGGCAGAGAAAAAAAATTACATTTTCAAATTTTTTGTTAATTTATATTTTCCCGAAGTATCTTCTTTAAATTTCCATAAATCTACTAAAGATAACACAAAAAATTGTGATTTTGAATACAAGAAATGTATATCAACATTAATTTAAACATTCAAGAAAAAAAAAAGAAATCACAAGATATTATAAAAAGTTGAAAAAATGTATCTATTTTGCCATATTTTTTCAAAATTTGAAAAATCTTCAAAAAAGATTAATGATTTGCACGTGTTTCTTGCAAAGTTTTGCAAATCTAACAGTCTAGGAATGAGGCTTGGAGTTCTAGAGTCATTTAGGGGTGAAAGAAGGCTTATTTCAAAGAAAGAAAGCTTGTTTTTCCCCCTTTATTTTTTTTTCAGTTTTTGGCCATATTTTTTTCATTGATACACCCCAATACACCCCCGATACACATGAAAAAAGATGAGACGCCCGATTTCCATGCGTATCCCGTATCTGAATTTCAAAGATATCAAAATTTTAAACCTTGGTTGACATAACTATGATGAATGCAAATTGAAGAAGAAACATGATGAGAAAAAAAAAAAGGTTGAGAAGAAGGTTGAAGGCTTCAACATTGCATTCGACAAAAAGTCAGATGATTCTACTTTAGTGGACGATGGATCCTTGCAACATTTGGAAGGAGATCCCATTCAGCCATACTTTAGGGAAGCAGTGATGATATGTGGTACAAAAAGAAGAGAAGAGTGATGTTGGACAAAATGCCTCTACAAGCGTAAAAACCACACTGTGATAAACTACAAAATTTTTTTTAGGCCATTGGACAATTAACTATCCAGAGAATGGCCCAACGAGCTATAAGCATAAAGACCCCACTGATAAACTACAAAATAACTGTGGACCTTACAAAATTTTGGTAAAGGAATGGCCTGACTCTTGAACGGGAACTGTAGAAAAAGTAATGACTCAGTGGATATAGCTACAAATCCATATGATATCTCGAGGGATTGTTGAAGAGAGTCTCGTCTGTACACTTGCTGAGTTTGTTGCACAAGTGCTGGTAAACCAAGAGAAAATAAAGATAGGGCACCTCACTTGTGGTCTATACGTTTGCAAGAAAATAATTGTGGACCTTCACCAATCTCTTTACACAGGCAAATTCATCATCTATGTAGGCAAGTCAATATGGCTTAGGTACAGTTATGAACAACTACATTGTGTTTGTTTAAATTTGGGCTAGCCGATCATCTATGGACAAGCTACAAGCGTAAAGACCCCACAGTAATAAACTAGAAAAATTTTCTAGACAACTAGAAAAATTTTCTAGACAACTAGACAATCAACTATCCAGGAGAATGGCTCAAAGCATATCATTGTGCAGAGAAACCTTGCAAAATTCCAGTCTATTCCTCTCCCCCTCTCTTGCATGAACTGTGTAGAATCTACCATAGTAAACAAGGTTCTGATGAGGATTCAGAAGATAATGATCCGAACATGCATAAGAGTTTATCCATGTAACGAAAGAATAGGAGATAAGTCAGCATCGGAAACCGGTACAGTGAATAAGTCACCACAACTTCAACTCGGTACCACAACTCAGGCTCACAATTCATCCATGCAGAGAGAAGAGCCACTTGTGGGAATACAATCACGTCTTGATCAGTGTTGAGATTCATCACCCTCCCCTTTTGTTTATTCTGCTAGAATTTACTCCTCATATCACTGTTTTGCATGTGAATGGAGATAACTTCAAAACATAGTTGCCTAAAGGTTAAAGGAGTTATTTTAAACACAAATTCCATGAATGCACGGTCTGACCTGGAGCTGCACTTCTCTCAGGCTATAACACTTTCCTCAGACCAAAAAGCTCTAGTCTTTGAACCTGTCGAAGAAGCCCTGTAAGTCATGGATCTGATACTTAAAAGGCAAAATTTTTCCTTGCCAACAGGTCAGTGAGAAAACTCTAGAGACATGTTAAAAGACTATGGAGTATTAGCTTTTCGGTAATCAGGGGCAGAGCCAGGGGTGATCCAGAGGAGCCATGGCCCCCTCTATGGTCCAGAAATCCCCACTGTAATAAGGTATTCATGTAAATTTTCCCCCTCCTACTCCCCACCCCAATGGTTGTYCCCCCCTATGGTTTGAGTATGCAAAGGATATGTCTACAAATCCAAATGGTCCCCTCAGGGATGCTCAAACAGAACTGTCKGTACACTTGCTCAATTTGAAAAAGGTGCAAATACCTTCCTTTACTTAGCATCCAAATAAAACAATGGTGATATAATGCATTAATTTTATTTCACCTCAGCATTTTTACATTTGTCCAGGAAGAGTATGGAGAATTATTCTTTGAAAGTTGTCTAGCAAAATAAATTAGTAGAGGGTAAAGTTGAAACTTTAAGTTATGTACGATAATGCATTAACAATGACAAGGGTATTTTGGTAACTTCAATGTCTTTGTTACCAAAAAGCCAAGGGAAAGGAGGCATTTGTACTTTTTTTTTCTCAAAACTATAGGAGAGGCCTTTGTTAGGTCAAAACACAAAAGTGGTTTATAGAATTRTTATAGGAGGATGTCTTTTTTATAATTTTACCTAAAACTAATACAAAAATAATAATAAACCGATAAAAATTAAGAAAAAGAATCTTTGTTCAAAAAAATTAATAAAAATTAGCATTAAGATACAAAAAAATAAGACAAAGTTATCTAGAGAATAGRAAATTACCCACCACTCTCACTAAAGCGCAACTTAAATTGTGATTGGATAAAATTAGATATAACCCCAAAAAATAATACTTGAACTAAACTTAGTTGGACACCATTTAGGCCATGTTTGGGAGTGCTTAAAAATAAGTGCTTATTTGGGCCATTAAAGCCCTGTTTGAGAACACTTA